CCCAAACCCCCCCCACCCAAAAATTGTTTTTTTTTTTTTGCGTGAGGGGGTGGGGCTGGGGTTGCGCCGCCCCATGGCGCTTCCCGAATCCCCAACCCCCCTCCCCACCGGCCGCCACGCGTCCGCAAAGTCGCGCGTCCGCGCAGACGCGTCCGCGGGGTCGCGGACTTGGCCCCGCTTGTCCGCCGCCGAGGGGGATTCACTGGGGATGGCCCAATAAACTGTACCTGTTGGGGGTAGGCAGTTCTTTGATGAGAACAGAAGGGCTGCTCGCAGCACCTCAGGGGCACTAAGGGCGATGCCTGTGCGACTGGGTACCGTAAAACGGCGTAAAGGTCTATCGGTGCGGGATGCTCTTAGCCATTAACCCTGGGATGAGGTGGGTTGGTACCTACCAGGTCCTGTGCTCTTGACCTGAAATGCCAACTGCTCTTCCTCGAACATGTACAATATTGAAAAAAAAAAAAAACAGACCTGAGTTCGAAMTCCAGTGAAAGCAGATGAGGAATTTCAACGTACTAGATTTGACCGAGGGGCCAGGGCTGGTCTGTTTCATGATGATATCTGAAGGTCGTCAGCCTTTTTTTTCTTTTTTTAATAAGGAATGCTTCGAAAGTACACACTTAAGTCGAACTTTTGTACATCCTCCGTACAAATTCTGTAATATTGAATTAACAACATCCTCAGTTTTCAGATGGTGGAGGTGCAAAATGTCTCCTTCTACAAAAATGAAATGCAGACCTGAGTTCGAACTCCAGTTCTTATCCCATAACCAAAAGGTCTCCTTCTTCAGCAGTCTGTGTAATGGCAGAGTGACTGCAATAGTAGTAAAATTCCAGAGAGACTTCTCATAGCAATTACTAATTAGCTACTAGGCCTCAGATCACAGTTTAGCCGTGTTTTTCCACAAAATATGCTAGATTTTCCAAAGACTGTAAAAACAAATGCGACAATAGAAAGGTCAGGAGCACTCTATTCAATTCTATTGTTATGGTTCGAGGAGGTAGAGTCAAAGAATCTGATTTGCGTGGTGTAAAATACCATTGTATTCGAGGACTCGAGGAGTGAAAGACATACAAGCAATTCCTAATCGACGTCGAGGCAGATATCTCTTGTTGCAGCTATCTTGGCATCCTGTGGCCTAACGCAGTCCCCGGCAATTACATGACCTACCTTCACCCGAGCATGGCACTTGCCGCGTATCCCACTCACACTTCTTCCGAATCAGGTAAACCACATTTCAATGATTTCATTAAAGGACAATTTAAACCCTCAGCTCATTTCATTACGCGAAAAAAGCCAGTTTCAACAAAATGGTACGTCTTACTGTTGCTAACAGACAGCCTAGTACACGACCACGGCCCTAGGACGCACTGCAATTATTGAGTACGGATGAAAACTGGAGCGCATTTGTCCATCAATTGCAAGCTGTAAGTTAAACATCATTACTCGAGAAAAAAAAATGACAGCTCGCACTGCCTCGCAGTAGAAAGGGTTCTCCAGTTTCAGAAATTCCACGAGCATGACGAATGACGTAGAATGAGCTAAAAGAGGGCTAATCCGTAAACGTGAGAAAAAGAAGAAAAAGAAGAGAACACTACAGTAAACTAAAATTGAGCCCTTTATGCATGTCATTGAGGGGTAGCATTGTCATTTCATGGCATGAGAGCATGAGCGCATCAGAGTCATGGCAGATTTCCCACAGCGAGGGAGATCTGATAGTATTGGGTTGTCCCCTTGCCAGGATTCAAGATGTACAGTGCAGCGTATGTTCTGGCTGAGGAGCAACCAGCGGCACTGGAACGGTACACCCATGCACCCTCCGTGGGATTGAACGCGACATTTCGGGCAGACACCTTTGGCTGCCTCAGGGGGGTGTTGATGATCTCTCCATTCGTCCCACCCACAGGTGGCAGCTTTATGACCCCATTCCCAACTCCTTCATCAGTGTACAGRAAGACGACGTGCCCATCTGTGACTTTCTTTGTCAGACCCTTGGACCAGTCCTTGAAGCCATCGGAGAAGTTAATATATGCCTTCAGTACGTGCTTCTTTCCATCTTCACACACTGGCTCCTTGAGTGTGAAGGAGCTAGCAAGGTGTGCTTGGATGTAGCACCGKTTGAGGTCGTATCTGCTCGTCTTCTCACAGTTCTTTCCATCCGGAAAGTCATYGGCAAGGCAGTTCTCACAGTTTTCCGTTGGACTAACAGGCACTGTGCTCCTCACAGGCTGCCCGACAACAGATTCTATCCACGACAACCCCCTGCTCACGCGCGCGTAGACATCTGGCAGTACGGAAAGGCCGCAAATCACTCCCTGGAAAGCTACCTGCCAGCTTGCCAGTCCCACTTGCACTGGACATCCTCCGCTGGATGGCAAGATGAACAATGGGCCACCACTGCATAGAAACATTAAAAAAAAAAAAGAAAAAAAAAAAAAAGAAAAAAAAA